GTTAAGTGAAGTTTGCTATAAATAAACTTTTGGTACCTCTTTTATTTTCCTAGTTCTGCATCTTTTAATAAGGTAAATTCATGTACTTAAAACCTTATTTACATATATTATGTTACAACTTCATACTGATTTATATGTTTGTTACATTCATTTGATAGGGTTGGAAATGGCACATAAGTGACTAAAAACTAATAAGACAGTGCGTGCCTCAAATTCTCAAACACATTTGGAGTCTTCAAAGAGCTGTCAAAATAAGGAACAATCTGCTTTGCCTCAAAATAATGTCCAACATGTGAATGAAGAAGTAGATCAAGTCACGGGTATGTTTCATAACTTATTTGGGTAACATTTGAGCATCTAGTCAGTAAGTATTTTACTAAGTCTATAATTAAAATGACATATGTTAGTCGAATTTGTTCTGATCATATATAGATAAGTATTTTACTAAATCTGCAACACCAATGAACTTTGATTTAGTATTTGTGCTCACCCAATGTTAAGATTGTGCTAGGTGAGAGAGTAATGGGACACAACTCTTTGTTATGGAATGTGTTTGTACAGGCTTTCTGTCAAATGTGCTGTAATTTTTCTAAAAGTCAAATGATTTTCGGATCCCAAAAAATGAAAAAAATTGTTTCCTTTTTTTGGGGTTTTAAAATATAGAAACCACAACATACATGGATTTTTATTCATAATATAATATATCCTCTCAATGCACTTATTTTTTTTTAGTTCCACCAAAGCCTAAAAAGCTTCGAGGTTACACGCGTATGATTGAGATATGGGACTTGGAAAAAGAGGAACAAGTGATAGTTGAAGTGAATGCTCACCATATTCCAATAGGTGATTCAGCTGCAAAGCTAACTAGGTTCATTGGTACCATGGTTAGAATGTCCGATTTTGCCCCATTGAGTTACACGACTTGGCCTCAACTTCCAGCTAGAAAGAAGAATGAAATGTGGGAGATGATTAAGGTACTTACATTAATAATTGTTTTTCTTTGGAAGCATAATTATATACTGATTGTAATTCCTGTGCTTTTCAACTCTAGGAGAAGTTTCAGTTCAAAACATTGGATGGAAAAGAGGTTATAGATGGAGAGGCTTTTAAATGTATAAATGTGTGGGCACTTGAGAACATGAGTACTAAGTGGAGGTCATGGAAAAATGAATTGAAAAGCGAGTACTTCGATGAAACGATGACACCACATGAAATGTCTTCAAAGGTTGATGACAGTCGAGTGGATAAAGATCAGTTCATTAGCATTGCAAAATATTGGCTTACTGATGAAGCAAAGGTAAATCATTTTCTGCAGTAAAAGCTTTCATCTTTTTCCATGCATTTAAATTCAGGTTGGTGATATTACCATATGCATGACACTACCATTTGCATTTGTTGGTGATACTGTCTGTACCTTCTGCTCACCTTTTATTTAGAATCATACAAAATTCAGCAATTTCAGATGTTGATAAATATCAAATCTTAATAACTGCATGCCAAGAATTCTAACAGCTATATAGTGAAATTATGCATTCAGGTGTCATAATTTAGCCATTGAATCTCTTTTGTAGATGATGTTACTTTTGTCAAATATATGTGGCTGTTATTAAAATTTTGCTTATGATGTAGATAAATGCTAGAGTCCATAACAATGTGATGCTAGTATTGACCTGAAGCTTGAATGTGCACTTAGCCCTATCTTTGTCATCTTTTTACCGGAGCTGATTATAATTTGGTTAAGTGTCAAGTATACTCTTTATAATGTCCATTGGTGTAGTCTACCGTGACAGTAGTTAAAGTTCAAACGGACCAGTTACTAGCTAGAATGTTTTTACATTGTCCCATTGTATATGTTAATTAATTCATGCTCTTTCTTGTTGTTATTTATTCAGAATTTCTAACATCGGAAAATTCTGTTATCATTTAATATATTGAATATTCAATTGAAGTTCAATTTCCTCTTTCATCTTCTTCTTTTACAGTTAGTGTTTTTTATCACGTACCCATAAATAACTGAAATTTTATTGCCACAGTGAATTGGGTATGTGTTTGACATATATCATCTTGTCTTAACTACATTGATATTTTAGGAACAAAGCACCAAAAATAAGGAAAATTGTTCTAAATCAAAAGAGCCTCATTGCACAGGAACAAAGTCTTTTCCGAGAGTTATTCATGAGATGGTACATTTATCAAACTTTCATAATTGATCTATTTCTTATGCATTAATTAAATTTTAGATTGATATTAAATGAATTGTTTTGTAGACAGAAGAAAGCAATGGTATTCATCCATCACGTGCTAAGGTTTATATTCGTACTCGAACACGAAAAAATGGGAGCATTGTGAATGATGAAGCTGCTGAAGTTGTGGTATAAAAACTAAGAGTTTCTTCTTTTCAAATCATCTATTTATCTTTTTTTTTAAATGCTCAAACTGTCTATTAACTTCTTTTAGGAACAAATGAAACAAAAAATGAGTGAAACAACTCTAGAAAGTGAGGGTACGTCTTTTTTTTTTTTTTTATATTTATGCACAAGTTAAGGGACCCGAGAAAAGAGGCTATGTTCGTTGCACGGGAACAAAAATAAAAAGATCCAATAGTTGCGGTTCTTCATGTACACAACGACAACAAAAAAATGATGAGGTAGAAATGATGAAGGCTGAGATTTGTGGACTGAAAACAACACTAAATCACATGTTGTCTGTAATGAAAAGAAGATTTCCTGAAGATGAATTGAGTAACATAATTATTGGACAGGTATTGATATACATGTTCATGTCTGGATCCTATTTAAGATCAATTTTTCATGTGTTGTAAATGTAATAGTATCTGACAATCTCATTTATGGATTTTTTACATTTTGCATTATGTTCTTCTCATTCTTATAGTATATGAGAGTGACTATGATGTTAGCATATGTAACAGCTTTATTTTTCTTAATATAATTTTTTGTAGGTACCTGATGTCAATAGTACCCCACATGTCTCACCGGATGAAAATAACCAGTCTTCCGAGTCAAGCCATCAAATGGGTGAAAGTGAAATATAATCTGGTAATGTATTGTTTTAAGAATTTCATCAATTTCGTAATTTTATGTTGCATTTTAAACTTCATCTTAGAAGTTTAGAGCCTGAATTTGAGTAAGACAACAATCTAATAAATGTATAGATATTCATTTGCTCCTTCAAGATGTTGAAGAACATTACGGGTAGTGACTTTATGTTGTACTTCCATAAAAAAATTTGATGTTTAGGTTTTGTTTTGGGTTCCAAATCTGCCTTTGACTAAAAGTGGAGGGGTGGGTTGTACTCACTATGTTGTAGGCACAGTTTAGGGTAAACTGATCATGAGAGTCTGGTTACTAAAGTAAGTGACCATCCTGGTAGTCTATGAGTTGTTTGGCTTTGATGTTTGTTCTGCATAGTTACTTCCAAATTGGTGAGTGTTTGGCTATGTAATGCATGTTATCCGTGATTGAATATCTGGCTTGCATGAAGGTAGCCCATATGGATTTATTTTGTTTGAGAGTCCACCAATTTTTGATGTGTAAGACTGTTTGAATAAAATTTTAACATGTTATTAACTTAAAATTTTCTAGTTGTATAGCTGATTGAAGTGATGTGCACTTTGTAGGTTCTCAAGATTTGATATGCGGATGGAGGCAATCAACATGGATACGTGAATTAAAAGGATTGACTTGTGTTACAGAAGGATTTGAATTCCATTTATGTTTTGTCCCAAAATTCAGAATTATAACTTGATTTGGATTTTTATTATGAATGTTATTCACTTTATAAAGACGTTTATTAGTAAAGTTGAATGATTTTGGAATGATATTTGTATTAGTTATTGTTATTTGTAATTCTATTGATATTTGTATTTGTATTTGTTATTGTTATTTGTAATTCTATTTTGGATTGTGAGTGATCATGTACGTGAACTAATAAATATTTGTTTCTGCATAAAACAGAGCTATACCAACGGTATATCAATTGTTACTATAGCAAAAACATAAGTAAAATTGTTCTACGTCTATACCAACGGTAATATAATTACTAACAGTAAGTGTTCCGTTGGTATAAGTTAATAAGCTATTCCAACGGGTAAGAAATGTGTTGGTGTTGGTCTATACCTACGGAATGTATACCAACACTCCATTTTTTGTTGGAATTGCATACATTTCCGTTGGTATAGCTAAACGAGGTCTATACCAACGGTTTATATTTCTATACCAACAGTTTTCTTACTGTTGGTATATGACATTTTGTTTGTAGTGTGCTACACCTAGGTCGAGGTCGTCTAACCGCCACTGGTTGTCGGAATCCCCTCGGCAATCGCATCTGATTTGCCAAAAACCCACCACCACCAAAGTTCGCCACCACCATCAACGGACTGACCTTAGTTATACAAGGGATTTAGGAGAGACAATTAATTATATTAATTAATTAGATTAGGGTAGAAATGTAATGTTTAGTCCTATTTTAGAAAAATTGAACATGTGATCCTATTTTTGGAAGAATATTTCGTAGTACGTTTTAGTCTTAGTTTGAAAAAGTCCGTCAAAAAAATGACTCTCCCAAAATCAATCGGACAATTGTGTAGAAGGATGTAAATAGAGCTTTCATCATACACTAATGGAAAGAGATTGAGGTTACATCCTGGGCCTTTACTTAAAATTGGAGCTGAAGCCAGAACTCCTCTCTTGTGACACTCTCTTCATATCCGGGTATCCGGTGAGCTACGTCCCCGATTGAATAATATTTATGTGGTTCAAGATGACAAATAACATATTCATGTCAAAACATGCAAGTTTTACATTTACTTTATGGTTAAATTTTGTTCCATTCGAAATAAAATAAATTTTAAGTGAAAACAAAGATTAGCTGTGCAAGTCACATATGTTTAGATTAGTAGATATAATAACGTAACGAAATAAATTTTGTTCCATTCAAAATAACGTAATCCATATAAGAAAAATGTAAGATAAATTTATTTATAGAAGGAAAGTGGTATTTTTTAGCATTGCAGAGTAGGAGTAACGTAATTTAAATTCATAAATTAATTAGGCCTTCTCCTTAAAAAATATAAAATAGAGAACACATATAAGAGAACCTTCTGACAGAATTTACAGATCCAATCGTGTACTCTAGAAGTAGATTTAGAGTCAGTCACCTCATACAAAACAACATGACTCGCTTAACCTGAAAAGGGCAAATTTAGGCCTAAAAACGATCGGAACCAGAACTCTGTCTATCAAAAGAACTCCAAGAATCCGAACATTCAAACCAAAACTACTCAGACTAAAACAGAAACAATTGCTACTAAAGAGAAAATAATATTGAACTAAAATCTTTTCACAAAGTTCTTTCTGGCATAGAGGTGGTTCCGGAGAAGGACGAACTCTTGCAATATGGGTGAATACCAACTCCACCACCGTCGGAATGGCCGATCCAGCTTCGATACAACCTCCTAGCCGCACCTCGTTCATCCGCCAACGATATCTCCTCCGACGTAGTTGCAATCACAAGTGTTAGAATACTTAGAATAAGTATAATATGCCGCTCCAACCCCATATTGATAGGGGCGGCCGAAAATCTCAACCCCTACAAAGAGGGGAGACGGCCGCTAGAGTTCCTCACTCTAGTGTGATCTTATAAAGGAAGTCCATGTTTTATTAATTAATAATATTAAAAGTAAAAATATAATGTTTAGTCCTACCTATTTAAGTAAGAATGTAAGATAAAACATCCTATATCTGGAACTATATCTGGAAGATGTTTTAATCTTATTTATGCGGTTGCTTGACTTGCTTGCAAATGATAACACACCTTAAAAACTAATGGCAAATGCATGTATTTTAAAAAATAATTTGCCAAGCAGCAAAGCTTTGTTGGTGATAAATCACTATCTTCTTCATCACCATCCAACAACTTTGAAGCTGCAAAGTTGGTCTCCGTCAATGTCTTCACCGAACACAACTGTTTTCTGAGCACCGTGGATATATTTCTGTACGATTCTGTTAGTATAACGGAGTATTTTTTTGATGAACTTAATATTATGACTTATATTAAAAAAAATAGCCTGATTTGACCTCATATGAGTCTAGTCTATAAATGTCGTACTAGTATGAGCATTTGTAATTGCGTTGGGTTAATCTGTTTTTTGTTTGTCCAAATTTAATGTGAATAGGGCCAATTTGATCCTATTTGATTATTTGAAGCTAAAAATAGTCGAATTGAAAATATTCTTATATTATATTAGGGGTGTTTGGATCCGATTCTTAAAACTGTCTCTGCTCTTTCAGAGAGTAGAAGCAGAAGTTGGAGTGTTTGGGTGAAAGTGTAGTAGTACTTCTAGTGTTCTAATGTACTCCTACATTCAGTTGTTTTAGAAACTCGGTGAGATCGGCTTCTGAAAACCGATTCTGCTTCTGCTTTAAAAAAGCGGCAGAAGCAGAAGCAGTTCCAAACACCCCTTAGAGTCCATTTGATTACACTGAGGGTATGTTTGGCTCAACTAGCTGAAAAGATACTTTTGTGAGCTTTCTAGTAACTGTTAGCTTTTAGTGACTGAAAATATCTTAAAAAGAAAAGGTGATAGTCGTTTGGTAAAAAGCTGTCTTTTTTATTTAGTTCGATTTGGTATACAAGGTGTTAGGTCTAAATAATACTAAAAGTCACGAGTTTTTCTCAGATGCTACACTCGGCAGCATCCCAAAAAAGATCTTTTAATTTTTGAAAAGTTCTTCAAAAATGTCATTCCAAACATACACCTAGTCTTTTAAGGTCATTTTAAAGAGTAAAGAAGCTAGAAGCTAGAGGCTTTTATGTGCCAAACATAGCATGAAACTAGCTAAACCGCTTGAAAATAATTTTTTAATAAAACTAGTCCATTTGAAAATATTTATTTATTAAAATAAAGGCCTTACTTTGACCACATTTTTATGCTAATATAAATAATCAAATTATTACGTATAAAATGTTATTGAATTCCTTTCAATATGAATTTACAAAATTTCAACTTTTTATAATGTTTACTAATATATAATTAAATATAGTAACAGTCAAAGTTGTGCGTTGGCAAATGTCAAAGTCAAACTTTTTTGTAAGAATTAAAGAATGAACGTCAAAGTCATCTACAATACCTTCGATTACTTCAGCTAAAAAGTAACTCCAACCTTATTTATTTTGATTATTATTATATAACAAAATGACTATAAACTCAAAAGGAGTTACCAAACCAATCTTAATTTCCTTTCTTTTGTCTTACCATTTTTGTCTTTTTGGTGATCCACAATCAGTTTGTTTTTCTTTTTCTTCCAACACTATTCCGGCAAAATTTGGTAACATTTTTTGGGGTTCGATTTTGGTTCACTCATCTTGTGTCCATTTCATTATATTTTGGTTCACATAGGTGTTTACACAATGTTTGGGATTGGGATCCTCTGCCCTACTAGCTAAGGGGTGCCTTGCGCATCGGTCGGTCGGGCAGCGGCGAGGACAGCCTTGAGATCAGCACACGTGTGAACCCCAAGATCCACGATCGTTGAATTGCCAAACGGACAGCTGTCCAAAAGCAAGGCAGAGGCTCCGGATCCCACTATTTGGGAGTTTTTACGATGTAAGTACTCAAATTGCCATACGACACCACGAGGATTTTGTGGTAGGCGAAATAAAAGTATCGCAATGGTTTATATTGTTGTAGACTTGTTGTATTTCTCATCAATGAAATGATTAGTTTCAGCTCTTTTTTCTCATAAACTTTATTAGTAAAATATACTCCGTATTTAAATACTACGAATAATTTCAGATTCAACCAATTCCACCGGCCCATAACTTTATCTGATTCTATTTGCTTCAACCATAACTTCATACTACGAATAACTTTGACATTTTGTCAATTCAGCCAATTTAATAATTACCAACCATGGTCTTAAAATTGGCTAATTGATAATGTGTTTTCATTTCAGAAGTCATCAATAGTATCATACAAAGTTAGAACAATGTCAACTTATTTTCACAATAATACTGCCACATTGTATTGATATCATGATATGACTAAAATCTGGTTTGACTGAAATATGACTTGTAAACATATTGGAGGGGTTGGTTTCACGTATTAATCCCTACATTTTAGGCTTGGAATTTAATATTAGTGTGTAACCGTGAGTAGGATGACCAAAAACCAAGAAACAAAATAGGAAAAAAAAACTACTAGGTCATACATTGAGAAATACATATCTTTTAGTCATATACGGAGTATGTGATAATTTTCTCTATTTTTTACTCCGTATATTTTACTTCACTATGTTAGCATTGTATTGATAGTAGGCTATAGCACTATTTGTAATTCCGGGACAACAATGTTCTTTCAGAATGGAACCACTATTTACTTTCTAATAATGGCAAGTGGTGGCAGGAATATGATTGCGGAAGTTCAATGATATGGTGGCCAAATCAGTGTTTGAATTCATTAATTTCAGTCCAAACTATACTGAACATACTAGACCAAACTAAGTAAATACGGAGTAGTAAAATACACATATAAAATTCTTTTAACAAATCAAACCAATTTATACTAGACTTAAACGGACCAGATTAAGAAAACACATCGTTAGCCTTGCAAAATGTAGTGATTTGACACTCATGTTTGTGAATATAGGTCTCTTTAATTTTTTGGGTGTATCTACGAGGAGAAGAATAAGTTCAATGAACTATTGAAGCCTCCACTTAGGATTCACTGATGTAATTGGTGTTAATACTTTATAGTCATTTGATCTGTTGGAGACAAATTTACAAATTCAACTCAGGTCCTGACTCCTGAGCATGCATAACACAAGTTGAAAAGAAAGTTTAGGGTAAAGAGCCCCACAAGGGTGCATTCAACCATTATCCATGGTGTTAGATTCATATCACCTTGTTAGCTAGTCGCTACCATCATTTTCTTTGATTTTCCCTTTACCCGTCTACCATGATGCTTGATAGAGAAGTAAGCCATACGCCTAACGGCCTCACCCACCAACAAGTTTGAAAATTAATTTTTATTCGTTCAGACCAGACAGCATCGGGTGTAAAAGGGAGACTTGAACAAGTTTTTACCAAAACAATAAGAAAACTGTCAGAGAACCACCCGAAAAAACAAACTATATTTGGTAAACCATTATAGCTGGACTCAAGTACATGCTTGAAGGGAACTCGTATATGCAAGAAAAAAGGGGACAAGATTTCTAAGTTCTATTCTAACCTCATCGTCTCAAATGGTTGCCACTTTACCAGCGGAGGCAATTTTACCACCTTTCATAGACAGAGTGGGCAAATTGGCCAATGCCCACTCTGGCGCTCTATTCACATACAGTTGTTTACCAGAATCTTTATGTCTAAAATCTGCCGCGCTTTTATATTTCTTGTTTGATCTGTTGTCCCACCATTCCCAAGGATTCTTACACAAACTCTTCCAACACTCCTCCTCTCCTGCTCCAATCTCCTTTTCCTTCTTACCCTTCTTTGTCTTCTCCAGAGTAACAACAGGAGAATCCTTGTTGAACTCCAGACCTTCAAGTCCTGGTAGCACCCATTCTGGTGCACTGGCTATCCAAAGCGCAACATGTGTTTGAACATGCTTGAAATCTGGGTGTCTCGGGTTCAAAATTCCCTTAGCCTTGCTTTCGCGAAAGTCAATCCATTCATTTGGGTTACGGATGAGGTTCTTCCATTCCTGGAATTCTTTAACTCTCAAAGCCTTCCTTTGAAAAGATTTTACCCCTTTCTTGGGAGTACCCTTTTTCTCCTCCACCTCATCAAAGAAATCATCTATATTATTACTTTCTAATTCTGAAATCTCTGGAATAAGTTTCTTGTTTCCAACAGGTTTCTTCCTCTTCAAATTTCCAACAAAGTTCATAGTTTGGACAAGGAGATGAACATTCATTTGATTTCTTTGTGTCATGAAAGACATGTGATCTCCACTCAACTGTCCAGAGACATAAAGACAGTCATTTTGCTTCACATTACATTTCACCATAACTGCTAAATCGCCTTGAAAAACAACCGGAATCGCCACAGAGGGAACTGAAACCAGTGAGATAGCAACAAAACCATCCAGATCACGGCTTTCAAGTGTAGAAAATGTAACAACAGTCTTAGCCACATACCTGCCCTGAGGCAAAACCTCAAACTGAACAGGACAGTCAACAAATCCGATCAGATCCACGGAATTTGCCACATTTGAGTGGAAGGGAATCTCAGATGGACGCTCGGGGCAAAGTGTGGACACCGATTCATTATCAGATTTCGGGGTATTGGGCAAATTCCTCGAGGGCTCTTTAGGCTTTGTCACTCTCGGTTTCCTCGATTGCGAGGTAAAGAAAGAAGATTGTTGGAGGGATACGAGGGTTTGAAAGAGAACGCGTTTCGTTGATGGGATTGACGATGAAGATGCGTGCAGGAATTGGGCTGATATCGCTTTCGTGAAGAAATTCATCACTGTTATTTTTTAAGCTCGATCTCTTTCGCTGGATGTTTTTTTATATAGAATGAAAAATAAACTAAGCGATAATACATACATATGCATCCTCTCTCTCAACAAAGTAGGGATAATGGTTAAGAGTAGTTCTTAAATCTTAAGATAAAAATCGAATGAAATTTATAAATATGAATAATAGTAACTATGGTTTAATTTTGTTTTGGTAAAATTATGTAAACATGTGAATATGTGATCATAGTGGTTTATTTTTTATTTTATTTTTTGTAAAAAAGAACACAAAGAGAAGTATATATCCAGAACATAAAAATATGTTAACACTATTGGTAATCTGAATCAATCAATCCCAGGTGTAGATGAATAAAACCTACCAACTGAAAAGGTTAGAACTCAATTTAAGTAAATCTGCTCAAGTAAACCCCAGTTTGGTTGATATTGGATGAGAATAAATGAAAGGAGATCCATATATAATGCTGTTGTTTGTGTAATTCTGAAGTTTTCTCAAGTGAATAGTATAACAGTTTGGTTCATTGGAGGTTAAGATATACTTGTATACTGTTTTTTAAGAAAATCCAACATCTTCAAGATTGATTTGAAGATTTTTCAGAACTGGGTTATAAACTTATAATATCAAATTTCGGAGGTGAATCTAAGTTCTCTAAAACCTTGGAAATTTTGTCAAAAGATGGTAAAAAAGGTGAATCCATAATTAAATATAGAAGAATCTAGGCCTACCTCAAAATGAACAGAACTGATTTTAATGGAATTTATCTGTGTATTGACAAATGTGACAGCAGGCAAACTAGATTTCTTTTAAAAAAATCACTCATATGTTAAGTGATAGCTTCCCAAGCCTTACCCACTCCCCCCTCCTTCCAAAGAATAGAGCAGTAATATATATTTTCATAGAAATGTTACTACCAATGTCATTAAAAACACCCAAATAAATGTAATTTGTACAGAGGAAAGATTTGGCACACAATAGATCAAAATGCCATCATCATTAATAAGTGCTCTTTATACTATTCTTCAAGTCCATACTCATTCCCATAGTACTTGTCCAGCAACTGATTAGCCATGCCCCTTACTTCTTCATTTTCATGAAATTGGTACCTTTCCAACGCATCGATGCCATCCTCTTTCTCCACGAGATTTGGACCCTCCCCGTTTGGCATTCCCCTAAGAACCTTCACGGGTTGGGCAAACATAAAAGTCAAGCAATGTAAACAGTGAGCTGATAGCTGATTTGGTCTCTTGACTATACATTATAACTCCATTTGGTTATCGACTTGTGTTGGGACTCAGTTTAATCCCTGACTATGCAATTTGGAAGAGTCTTCAAACATAAATAGTTGTAAATTATTAGGGTATTTCCATCTGTCCACTAGATTTAAATCCAATGTAGGACTATCCTGTGTGAAAGTACGTCATTTGAACACATTCTAATTTTAGTTGGACAAAATAAATAGAGTGAGATATCCACAACAACTAAATTGAGCCCAAATTGCAGAGGACCAGATTGAGTTAAAAGAGAGTGAAAGACCAAATTGAGCAATTATTTATAGTTGATGGATTTTATTGGACATTGTGACTCTTAATGGTTATCAACATTGAGTTCCTAGAAGCTCCTACGGATTGCCTAAAGGGCTAAAGGGTACCTAGTAAGCCTTAGCCTAGAGCCTAAAAAAGGCAAATTTTGAGCGCCTAGTAAGGCGAGTGCCTAAGAAGGCTGATTTTTAAGCTCTTTTTTACCTAGGGGGGCAAAGGGAACTTTCTCAACAGTGACTAGAAAGCAAAAGCTTATCCAAAACTCCACTTACCAGCTCAAGAAACTGCAGCCCGAGTTTTGCTGCCTCAATGTCTACCGATCTTACTAAATTAACAAATCCAGAAAGGCACCCTCTCCTCACAAGGGTAACCAAGTGTTCCACAATCAGCTTTGGCATTCCAGAACCGTCCCCTGGGGAAACACAGAGGTTGCCAAGAACGTATGCCACCTCCTTTTTAATGTCAAATGGTGCTGTTGAAAGAAGGTGGAGTAACACTGGCAAAGCTTCACTGGAATGTATTAATTTCTTATGCTCGAAAGAACCGGCTGCTAGATTAGATAGGACCCAAGCAGCTTCCTGAAAAAAAAAATTGAATTTCAGGGCCTCTTCAGTAAAGGTTATTTGGCTGGAATGACCTGTTGAGTTTTCTGAAAGGAAAAGCTTTTGCTAATATACTTGTTTTGGCCAAATGACATGTACTCATAGCAAGAAAAGTAGTTTTATTTCAAAAAGAGGTGTTTGTCAGGAAATGGAAAAAGTATTTTTGTCATTATAAGAACAGTTGATATTTATTTACAAAACCATAAAAATGGTGGCTTTTCAAAAATCGAAATTTCACTCTAAGCGCCTACATGAGAAAGCACTTTTGATAATAGCACGTGTACCAGTTACACCAAAACATGATACAAGTAAGCCCAAAAGGCCAAAACCAGTAATCCTGCTGATAAGGCTACCAAATAGAGCCTTTATGCATGCCACAAACAACTCCAAGACCATGAAGAGTAACACAAGTACTATCGTAGTTTACCTTCTTCAAGATACGATGTTCGCTCTTCAAACATTTTACTTGTGCTTGAATAAATGCATCTGCAATTACCAAGAATATGGCGGGTTTCACATCAAACTGTTATGGAATATTAATAATTTTCTTTTTTATATACATACAGGGAAGATATGGAAGATAACTAGCCTGTAATCTCACTTCCAGCAACAAGAGTAACATTAGTTACAAGAGTATCACCAGCCACGAGATTACCTAAGGTCCTCAGGACCTGCAATAAATAGAGTGATAAGGTTTCATACAAACTGAAGTCACATAAATATTTATTTTATTAGAGAGAGAGATGTTAAATACTACGTATTATATAATGTTACCGGGATAAGTAGCTGAAGGCTATTTGTGGTGTTCAATCTATCTATTAAGATGTGAAAGAGATCACTCTTTGCAAGTATTGTGGCGGCGGAGTTTGAAAGGGCAGAGAGATACACAACAACCCATGCTACTTCCGTGGCCAACTCAACATCTCTGTTGCCCCCAAAAATACATAAATAAGTAAAGAAGATGGAAGATGAAAGTGAAGTAATTTGTTTACTTTACATTTGACTTCACCTTGGAAAATGAAAACAAAAACAAATATGATTACTTTAAATTAAATCTCATATCTAGATCTTTTTTCTTTAAAAGTTTATGACTTTATGTAATAGAATTAAATAAATAAAAAGAGGTTAAAGTGTTAAACATTCATCTAAATATAATTTTGAGTATGAATCTATCCCTCATTTCCCATGAACATTTCTTTCCTTCTCATTTTCATCTATATTTTATTTTCCTAGTATTTAACTATGTTGTAAAAACCGGACCGGAGAGCGACACGGCTGAACGACTGGGTCACAGGTCAACCCGGACCCGGCGGGTCAACCCGGTCAACGCCGTAAAACCCGGTCAACCCAGGAGACAAAATTATTAGTCTAAAACATACATTTCCAACAAAATGGAAGATATATTCAAAATTAGATGGATGACAAACACGAATATAATACTCATTAAAAAATTAAAAATATTTTTTTATAAGTTATACTCACTTATATTAATTAATATTATGAATAGAATTAGTACTGCATATTTATTATGGTTTTATTATGATTACTAATTATTAATTACAATATTAAAAAACATTAATTAACCATCACAAGAGATAAAAGGTTGGAGCACAATTCTGGTTAAAGAGATGAGAGGGGCTGGGGAGATTTATTAATTCCAATCTAATAAATACTTAGTGATGCCTTACCCAAAATAACTTAGAAAGAAATAGTAAATACATCAAAAGTGCAACTCTACCGAACATGGCAAAGCAGTTCCCTGGTGTGAAGATCAAACTTTCAGCCTGCGCACTTAGTATCGAATCTCTGCAGCGGATTTTTGTATCTATTTCCGGTTTTCCTCATAATCCGGATTTTATCCGTTCCGTATACGGCTTGGGTCACCCTGGGTCGCTGGGTAATTCCGGGTTCAGATAGATTTGCGGTTCACTAGTCTACCGGACCGGATTCGGCTCCGGGTCACCAGTTTGTGGGTCGACCCGCCGGGTCTCCGGGTAACAGGTTCAAATGGAGTTATGGACCTTTAATCTTGAAACATGAAGAATATGTGAGAGAAAAATACGAAAACAAATGCCTCAATAGAGCAGTGTTATCATCTCGTATTCTCCTCAGCAAGATGGCTTCTTCTAGCAAACCTTACTTGATAATTGATATATATCTACTCAAAGTGAGCCCATAAATCAAGGTCAGATAGTTTTGGAGTATTATAGGAGCTTGCAAATTATAGCATAAAAAATTAAACTTACGCTTTTTTCAAATGACGAAGAATTGCATCAAGTACGCCACCAATTCTTATCAACTCATTTGCTGCTTTAGGGCCTGGTCCCTGCATAGTAGATTTCTATTATCAAGAAAATTGAAAGATTTAACACAATCATGATCATATAACATTTTAATCTCCTTTTATTGGGTTTTAAAAACATCTGCTTTCCCCATCCGTTGCCCACTTCCTTAATTCGGTTGTCCTAAAAAACTTGCACTTTCCCTTTTAAAGAAAGAAATTTGTGGTTCATATTGTTTTTCTCTCTTCTAAATAAATCTTAGTATTCATCTTCTTAATCTACGTGATGGCCAAAGGTAGCAAACCTTTAGCCCTTGTTTTGTTTAAGGATTTTGGAGCAGAGCAAAGTTAGATGAGTGATTATAGTTTAGTAGTTTATTTTCACATTAGATGGTTAGAAAAAGGTGAAAATAAAAAAATATACAGAAGTGCAATATTTAACTACACAATAAAAATATATTTGTTTTTTAGTTTAAGACTGATCATTTTAGATGCGGCACTGGGGTAAATGAAAATGATGATGACTGATCATTTTAGATAAATTAGTCAAACAAAGATGGATCCTCCACTTCCTTCTCCTCCAAAGTCCTCCTACGAAACACACCCTTAAGAGATGGAGACTAGTATTTATCGAGATATCCAGTAAGCCCTCCAAGACCTTCCCTCCACCCAAACAGACC